TTTTAAAAATGTTTGTTTTTTAACAGTTCTGTATATGAGAAAAAACTATAATGCTAAGGGTAAAGTATTGAGTATTTGAGTCCAGGCCCTGTTTAATAGTAGTAATTGTGTCCATATTTCCCAATTTGTAAGATGGGGGTAATAGTATCCACTTTACAACCCATGTAAAGCACTTAGGACAACTCATGTTTCTTAAGGGATACAAGTATTAATTACTGTTACTGTTATTGACACAATAGTTTGTACAGTGAACTCAGCATAAGGAAGGGATTTTTTTGCCTTAGAAGAGGAAACCAGCTTTGGAAAAACTCAGGTAGTAACTTGCCCCAAGCCCCAAGTGGAGCAACAGCCCTGTGAACTGTTTGCCCTTCTAAACGCTGAGAATCAGAACTAAGAAAGATTCAGTGTCTTGACCAAAGTAATAAAGGAGTCGTGGTTACGCATGTCACAGTATCCTGAACCTTACAGAAATGAGAGCGAGAAGGAATGTAGAGATCAGCCAGTCCTCCTCCTTTTGGGGGATCTATCCTCCTGGACCCTCAATTTTACTTGGAAATCAGGAGAGAAGGGTCTTCCTGTCTTCAAACAAACTTGCACATGCATTATGGAAATTAAAGTTGCATGATATGTAAAGATAAAAGATGAACTGCTTCAAGTTTCCTCCGGTCTCTGGATTATACATGGCTTGCCACTTAAGTATTAAGATGTCCTCATCTCATTGAAACCTATCCTTTTATTTTGACCTCACTGAGTCTGAGCAGATAAGGCACTGAAGGGCTGCTGTTCTGAAACCCACGTTTGCAGTCCTTGGTAAGGTCCCAGCCCACACACCCAACTGGGAAACAGAAAATACTGCTTTCGGGGTCCTTAGTGTCTTAAAACGAGGCAGTGTACGTGAATGGCCTGGCATGTAGTTAAGTGCTTAATAGATAAAGCGAGTTGTTAATGAATGCATGAATCTGGGCCTAGGCCCATTGTATCTCACAATTCTGCATGCCTAAATGTAAGCCAGTTTGCCACTTGCACACAGGTGAATGAAAGTCCTGCTCTCAGTGGAGAAAACGGAGTTGCTGCTGCATTTCCTGGGTAATGGGCTAAGGCACCGCTTTATCCATGCTGGACAATCAGATGGCTGCCTTTTGCTCTTGGCTTCAGAATGACAATATTTTCATGTCTCTCACAATAGTTTTAGAGAGTTTTTTGCACAGTTAACTGAGCATATCTGAAGGAGCTTGCAGGAAGACCAGAAAATAATCTCAGGCAATGTAAAGAGAGACTGACAGACTAGATAGGTGCTATTTGCAGAGCCCCTTGCAACTTAAGTTTTAAGATACCTTCATCTCATTGAAGCCCATTTTTTAATTTTTCCCTGAGTCTGAGCAGATGAGGCATGAAAGGAAAGTCATTTTGAAACCCATGCTACTAGTCCCTACCACTTACCTTGAAGTTTAAAAACTGGAGAGATCCAAAACAGCATTGAACAGAAACATACCTGGACTGTGCTACCTCCCTAAAGGGTGGAGAGGAGCCCATGTGGCGTAGGGGTCACACATTGGGCTGCTAACCACAAGGTCAGCAGTTTGGGATTATATCTGTAAATTTAGGCTGAGATGTTCAGTGACAGTGACTGAACGACCCCTGCTGTTTGCCTGCCCCCCCCCCTCCCCCCGGCTGTTTCTCCTGCTTTGGAGCAACAGTCCTTGCACATGTAGTGTGCTGTTTCTCTGTCACTTTAGCTGTGCTGAGCCCACATTGCTCGGTACTTGGAGCACCTGGCTTTTCAGACATTAGACTGGACTGAAATGGGAAAATCTGAGCTGAGTAGCCCCACTCCCATCCTTTAGCTCTCAGTGTCGCTGAGTTCATTACGACTCATAGCCACCCTATTGGGCAGGGCAGAACAGCCCCTGTGGGTTTCCGAGACTGAAAACTCTTTGCAGGAGTAGAAAGCCTGCTCTTTCCTCCCGCTTAGTGACTGGTGGTTTTGAACTTCTGACCTTATGGTTAGCAGCCCAACTCGTAACCACTTGCCACCCGGGTTCCCACACCACCCTTTAGAGAGGTAGCATAATCCAGATGTGGTTTTCTTCATTGCTGTCTTGAAATCTCTCCATCATTTCAACTCGAAAAGAGGAAAGTACGGTTTGCCTTGGTTTCCCTCGGCAGAAGTGGAAGCTGCTGTGTATTGGGATGTAACTGTTCTGACATAACTTCTACGTCTACAAATATCTACAAGGCAGTCTGTTCCCTGTTATCTGTGAAACGGAAGTGCCAGACTAAGTGGCAGCAAGAGAAGACCACTCCTGGGGCCTCAGAGTCAGAACTGACTTGAAGAGAGAGAACTCTCCTTTTTGTTGTTTTTTAAATTTTGTTAAAGAGAGGCCGTACAGTGGGACCTCCAAGAGACTAATTGTGCTGTGATATAGAAAACTTTGGCATATGGCAATGAGTTTGGTTTATTTTTGAGAAGTCAGTGTTTTTTACAAGTAGGTTTTGTTATATTAGTGGATGGTGAAACTGATAAGTTGTGATTGCATAAGAAAAATGATAGAGAGTAGAAAATATTAGTGGGCTAGTGCACGGTAGGATAAATGTATCTGTAAAATTTGTCTCAGTGACAAAGTGCATGTTTTTGTGAGTGAGGGTACCGCCTCTCCTTGTGAGCTCTTTGTAGGCTGAGATCTCAGCCGAGAGCATCTTTGATCCAGATGTACTTCTTCCTGGGGTGCCTTCTCTTGCTCTGTACAGTTTGCTTAGGCAAATCAGGCACCCGTGCTAATCAGATGATCCTCAGGACCAAACTTTACTCGGACAAGATTTTGGGTTTGTATTTATGGCTCAGCTCATTCTGCCTGTCACTTTGGAAAAGACTCGTCTTACCAAATCACACACATCCCTTGGGCCTTCAGTCCCGGTCCCTTCAGGAACCGAGCCTTTCCACATTCATTCAGCCCTGAGCAGGCATATGTGAATCAATAGCTTGAAATTAAATTAATTAGATTTAGAACAACAAACGTAAAAGTTAGGCATATGTCGTGAGGAGGACTTCTGCTTGTGGCCCCCCCCCAAAAAAAAAATAAATAAGGAATTTGCTCACAGAAACATTAACACTATGATAATGGTTGATTTGAAGAACAACTTTTGCTTTTTAATGATAATCTGTACTAAAGGCATACACATTTGGTCCACATTGTGATTCACACTGTGAATCGAGTGATTCTCAAGAAACTTCAATGTCAATCATGTTTATTTGACCTCAAAGTAAAAAAGAGCATAAATTATATTTTCTGGAAGCTTTTATAGAAAAGTTTTCTGATGAGGTTAGCATACTTTCCCAATACATACTTCCCTTTTTCTTGTCTTCAATGGGTGTTTGTGCATCTGTTCTGGGGTCATTCAAAGATGACTTAAAAATTGATAGCAACTGACAGACCTAGGGCAGGTGTCATGTTACCAGTAAATGAGTTGTTACTGATGAGACCATCAGACTATACTTTGGATTTTAATTGTAACTTCTCTGGCTCTATTAATGTAGATACATTTCTCAGGATTACTTTTACTGTGTGTAAAAAAGTTAACTTATTGTCTTATTGTTCAGTCTTTTCTACCCTTTTTTTTGGTTTTGTGTTCAATGAATCTCAGTCTTCAAATGTAACATCCCCATAAAATCATAAAATAACAGAAAGAAAAAGCTAAGTATATATATTCCAGTATTCCTATGTGCTGGTAACATTGTAGTGTTTCATTAATTATTCTTGGGCAGATTTTTATGTATCTTGGACTTTTTTGTAATGTAGAGTAACAGTCCCGCACCTTTAAGAAAATGTTAATTTTCTATGGTATTAGTCTGTTTGCCTTGGAAAGAATGATGTCTCAGAAGTTCTTCATACTAACATGTGTAGCCTGGGTTGATTTAATTTGAAGAACTCAAATATTGAAGAGAAACTCTGGAATTGTGAATACATTTCAGTATTATAAACTCTTAATTGTAGTTCTCTTTAAGTTTTGATCATTTTATTTTTATTTTTTGATAGGCATGATCTGTTAGCATCACTTCTGAAATAGATCAAGAACGTCTGGCAGCAGTTGCCACTAGTTTGAAAGTTGTGTCTCTTACGTCATAGTCACCAGTTAGCATGGGTCTGCACCAGTGGTTCTCAGCCTTCCTCATGCCACGACCCTGTCATACAGTTCCTCATTGTGGTAGCCCCCCAACCATAACTTTATTTTTGTTGCTACTACATAACTGTAATTTTGCTACTGTTACGAAGCTGGCGACCCCTATGAAAGCGTCATTGGACCTCCAAAGGGGTCTCGACCCACAGGTTGAGAACCACTGCTCTACACCATCCCTACTAGTTAACAGTTATTGGTTGACTCAAATGGAAGTAAATGCCTATTTATGAATGTAAAGACATTTGAACCCCCTCTCCTGGACGTTTGAACTAGAGAGAGAGGGGATTTGGTGGTGGTGGGGAGGGAGTGACGGACACAAAAGGGAACAATGGAGAATTGGTTGATTGGGTGTGGTCCAGGGCTTCAATGAGTTAATTTTGTTTCAGCTTCCTTGCCTGAGGATTTTTATTCGCGTTAGACACACTCAGAACCTACATTTTAATAAGATCCCGAGAGGATATGTACGAATTCCTAGGGCTTTATAAGAATGTTATGTAGCTAGCTGTACAGGATCCCCTTTGCCGGCCATGGGAAGTTTCACTTGGACCTTTTAGGAAGAGTGGTTATTTTTCCTGAGACTTGGAAGCAGCATTAACTTCTTGGACTTCTGAGAACTCAGTATATACTTTCCTCATTGGAGTGTGCCCCCCACCCCCAAATACGTATTGAGAAAGAAATCATCTGAGAAAGTCACTCCCTATTTTAAAAAGGCATTTCAAAGTAGGAATCTCATTTTTTATAGGTTGAAGAACATTTGTGCATTAATGATTTTTTAGTATTTGAAATAACTAAATAAAAGATTGTTTCCCCCCCCCACGCTACAGGAAACTCCCCAGCGGAAAAAACGGAAATCAGAGGCTAAAGGAACAAATGACCAGGTTGACATGTTGGCTCTTGGGACAGCAGTTGGTAGCATCTTATTATACAGCACAGTAAAAGGAGAGTTACACAGTAAACTAATAGTAAGTATGTGTGGGTATTTTCTCTATGAAAGATGAAAGGGAAACTCATAATTAGAGATTCATTGACGACAAAGTACTTCCGAATGTGTGGTAGGATTTGTGCTATAGAGACAGTCACGTGTCTTCTACATGTGTAGTACTGAATAGTAAGTAATATTTGATAATAGCCATAATAGGTACTCCGTCCTTATTAACCAAACACTGTCGTAAGTACTTTAGGTATGTTATTATTTTAATCTTTACAACAGTGCTAACAGGGAGATACTTATCCTCCCAGTTCCAGCCAGATAATTGAGGGTTTCGGTAATGTATTTTCCTGAGGTGATAGGGCTAATAACTGGTAGAACAAGGAGTTGAACTGGGAGTCTGGTTCTGGAGTTTGGAGCTCTTAAGCATAGTCATTGCGGTATTGTCCAGTTAAACTCCTGGCACGGTGGAAATGGTCTGAATCCGCGTTGTCTCGTGCAGGAGGCTCTAGCCATATGTAGCTGCTGACCACTTGAAATATGACTCCGTGACTGAGGAGCTGAATGGTAACACTAGTAATTCTAATTCATTACAAAAGCCACACACAGCTAACTAAAGCCTTATTGAACTGCACAGCTCCACTGCATCTTGGGCAGCTTCATTTGATGCTGCTCTTACGTTATCGGGAAGATTAATCTCCCAAGCTTGGAGTTAGGACTAGCAGTTAATAACATTGAAAATACCCTTTACATGGTGACGCACGAGAATATAAGTTGTTTTTGGTCTGAAAAAGATGAGAAGTGAAGAGTTCTGATAATGAATTATCACCCTTGTCTACTACCCCACCACTCCTAATTATTCCTGTTAAGCACTACCCTTAATTATTAATGTCCAACAAAAAAGTAAACTCTAGGGAAAAGAAAGGGTTGAAAGGACCTGTGGCTATAGACTTTCTCTCCACCTTCCTTCTTGTGTTTAAATTTCCCATGTTGGGCTGGTTTTATAGCCTGAGAGTGGCAGTTTCAGGCAGGGACCAGTTAGTAGCTGCAACCACCTTAGTTATTTGAAGAGATTTACTATAAAGAATTTCTAAGAAAAGAGAGGAAGAGGGGGGCTTATTAAAACAGTAAAAATGCAGGAGAAGCACTGTAGAAGTGAAGCCCAGCTCCCTTAGGACAAGATGCTGCGCTGCTCCATTGCTGCTGCTGTTTCTGGAGGAGGGACCTCCTGGGTGTGGGGTCCGTCCCTCTGAGGTAGAGGCATCTGCTGACTAGAGCTGATGTCGAGGCTGGTTCTCTATTGAAACATTTCCCCGGTGGGTTCAGCTGCTGTTGAGGCAATCGTTGCTGCTGGGGTCAAAAAACATTGGTGGTGTTGGGAATGAGACAGGAAGGAATAAGCCCCTTGTCCCTGCTAGTCTTCGCCCCACACCCATTGTTGGCAGAGTTGACTAGGGACCCAGCTGGCAAAGCAGAAATGTGGATCGTAGAGGGCTAGGCCCAACACGATCTAGCTGAGGCGAGAAGGTTGGGTTTGGCACTGAGAAGACAGTAGCTTCAGTGGCATCAGACAGTGTCTGTTACAACCTAATTTTGTTCACTGGGGTCCAGTATACAGGAATGCATATGATGTGTACGAATAAAAAAAAATTTGGAATGTAACAGTGTTGAAAAGGGAAAAATGTTATATACTTAAATCTATTACCAAGAGAAGCACTGTTTCTACTTTTGTGTGAATTCTTGGTTTTCTGTACATGTGTAAACAGTATGGGTGGACTCTAGCTCTTTATTGGATTTTGCATTGTGATTCCTTTCAAGAGCATGCAGTGTATTTTCATAGGCAGGATTGCCCAAAACTGGTTACAAACATTCATAATGACTGCCTAGAATTCTCCTGTATTAGATGGACTTGTACTTGGCTTCCCAATTTTGTTGTTAACAAACACTTAGTAACTCGTAATTGCTGAGTCTTAAAAGAGTTTGAGCAGGATGGCTCTTGATACATAGTGGTAAAGCTGGGGGAGTTTTGGTAATTGCAACTGAAGCAGGGAGGGTGTTGTACACTGTACAAGTCTGTTCTGAAAAGATACATAAGGGGCTTCAAAGAGTCACAGGAAAGCTCCATTCTCTTTTAATTACTTCCACTTTTCTCCTCTTTTGAAGCCTCCTTGTATTTTGAAAGCATTATTGCCACCATTGACTATTCTCTAAAGATAGAATCTCTTTACAAATTATTTCAATACCTCACAGGTGTATAAATTACCAGGGATTAATTTACCCAGAGGAACTCCAAAGGTGAGGGTGAGGATGGTCTGGTGATGAGAGGGAGGTTGGGATGATGTAGGGAGGTGGTCTATCTAGGCCTTGGAGTGCCTGTACTGAATTTGAATCCTATTAGTTAGGCGATGCTGGGTAAGTGGTAGAATTTATACTTGTATGTGCATTGCATCTATGTGAATTGAGGTAGGGAGAAAGGGTGAAAACGGCAGTTGCTTACAGTGTAGGTAGGTGGTTTAGCATCTGCTCGACTTAAGAGCCCTAGTCCTGGAATGTGAGTGATGAGAGCCTTGAATTTGCTCGTCTTCATTTTTCTGTGCCCGCTAGTGAGTGAGCATCTTGCTCATCTGAATATGCGTACAGATTGTTCATATGGCGCGGTTCATCACACCAGCGAGTAGTTAACGTTTATCTGAAGAAACAGTGATTTCTTTCCTGACAGATTGTTTTGGGGCTCATTTTTAAAAAGGGATTTTCAAGGGTGGGTTGGAAAGGGGGAACCGATTACAAGGATCTGCATGTGACCTCCTCCCTCGGGGACGGACAACAGAAAAGTGGTTGAAGGGAGACGTCGGGCAGGGCAAGTTAGGACAAAATAATAATTTATAAATTATCAAGGGTTCATGAGGGAGGGGGAGGGGGAAGGGAGGGGAAAATGAGCTGATGTCAGGCCTGGGCTTAAGTGGAGAGCAAATGTTTTGAGAATGATGAGGGCAATGAATGTACAAATGTGGTTTATACAATTGATGTGTGTATGGATTGCGATAAGAGTTGTGTGAGCCCCTAATAAAACGATTTAAAAATAAAGTAAAAATTCTTACCTTAAAAAATAAATAAATAAGGGATTTTCATGAGTAATTTTGACTCGACACAATTTTTCACCTTAAGCAAGTGTTGGCATTTTGACTCAGTTTTGATTTCTATCTTAGCTCATTAGTGTCTTTTGTACCTCTGTTGTGTGTTTCCTGACACCTAGAGCCGGCCTGCGACCAAAGCAAACAGTATCTAGCACTGGTATACTCCGACCTGCGATGTGGAAGTAATGTTTTTCCAGTGGGGGAGAAGGGCAAGTCTGATGACATTTCAGCTCTCACTTCTGATTTGGGAAACTAACATGGATAAAAATAGGTTAAGGCTATTTGAATGAACTGTTTGATAATAACTCCAGGGTGAATGTTATTTAAGGCACATTTTATTTTTGCTGTAATTCTTATTTTCTCTTCTTGAATCTTCAGAGTGGTGGGCATGAAAACAAAGTCAATTGCATACAGTGGCACCAAGACAATGGCTGTTTGTATAGTTGTTCAGATGACAAGTATATTGTGGAGTGGAATACACAGACGTGCAAAGTGAAATGGTGAGTAGCGTCATGGCTCTGTTGTCTGGGAGGCAGGTAGTAGGTACAGCTGGGAGTGCCGCGAGCAACTCCTGCTCAGTGCAGAGCGTCACATGGGGCAAAGAAGGGGATGTCAGCTTGAAGATGCCAACTTTAATGAATCGGACTTTAAAGAATTAAACAAGGTTCTGTCTAAAGGTAAATAATGATCCAAGGGTAAAGGTACCTGCACAAAGTGCCATTGGATAGCCTGTCTAGGCCTGATGGAAGAGCACGGGTTTCAGTTGGACCTTCCAGGGTTTATGCGATTTGGCTAGAAGAGGGTGGGAGATTATTCTCAGGGTAAGGGCGGTGGGCAGACGGCGAGAGCAGAGACTCAGGAAGTGTAAGATTTATGTGGAATTGGGAAATTAGAGGAGCGGTGTCTTGGGAACTCTTGGCTGGTGGAGGGTACAGTGTCTTAGCGAGTCGTCAATGCCACAGTGTAACAACATCTTTTGGGTACAGTGTCTTAGCGAGTCGTCAATGCCACAGTGTAACAACATCTTTTTCACCTTCCTTTATCTGCAGCACTAGTGTCTAACCTAATGGCCTGTCAGAAACACTACAGATTCTGACCCAGTAGGTCTGGGATGAGGTTCTTGTTTAGAAGGTTGTCTAGATGGGCATTCAAAGTTAGGCCCTTTACATAGGGACTGTTGTAGACACTGTTCAGTACGTTATTCACTCTGTTGTCCTCAGTCATAGCACTGAGGTTCTAGGTCTGTGTGAGAGAACCACTCAACTCTATGCTGACTCTTGAAAGCATATATGTTGTAGCTCCAGCCTAGGTAGAGCCTTCAAACAGTCTGTGATTCTGTCTGTCGTCGTCCCCCCCGTAAAGCAGTGAACTGGAGAAAGTGGGAGAGCTCGACAGGGCTTTCCACCTCCCTTCATCTGTCTCTAATACCATGTCTTTAGCGGTATCACTTTTCTTCAGGTATTCATCTTTATGTTTCTAAATAGCCTAATTGATTCCGCTAGCCATTTTACGTAGTAGCCGAGTCTTCAAAGGGCTTTTGTTGCATGTTCGTGTCCCCGTGTGACAGTGGATTTGCCGCCTAGGGTTTCTAGACTGATCTCCCCCTCCTCTCTGAGTCATTGCGCCTTCAACGTCAACCCAAGGAGCCCTGGTGGCACGGCAGTTACTTGTTGGGTTGCTAACTGCAAGGCCAGCAGTGTGAAACCACGAGCCATTCCGTGGGAGAAGACCCAGCTCTGTACTCCCGTAAAGAGGGACAGCCTTGGAAACTCACAGGGACGATTCTGCCGTGGCCCTATGGTTGTTCTGACTGGAGTAGACTGATGGCAGTGAATCTGGGGGTATTTTTGGAGTCTGTACTAAAGAGGCAAGGCCCGAGGCAGACGGATGCTGTGGGTAAGATTTTGGGCTGCCGTCTACAAAGGCGGTGGGTCACACCTGGCCTCTCCATGGGAGAATGGTGAGGTGGTTTGCTCCTATAAGGATGCACAGCAGGGGAAACCCCGTGTAGTTGGATTCGACTTGGTGGCGGTGAGCTGGGGTTTTGGTTCAGCTTTACCAGGGAGCTCTGGCAGCAGTGTTTTCAGTGCCCCACTTGGGGTCAAACCCACCAGCTACTAGCTCCATCAGAGAAACTTGTGTCCTGCTTTCACAAAGAGTCACAGCCTTGGAAACCCTCTGGGCAGCTCTGCTCGTCTGTCTGCTGTCTGTACAGACATGCCATGACCTCAGGCAGTGGGGTTTAAAATTTACAGAAACAGACCACTAGGTCTTATTCCTGGGAAGATGCGTGGTGGGTTCAAACCTCTAACCTTTTGGCTCACAACCTTGTGCTTAACCATTTGGACCACCAGGTCACCTTAGATTTGTATAGAGCTGTCATTGTTACTCCCAGAGTTGTATAGATCTCAGTTCGTTGCAACATTTTGCCTTCTGTACTGGTTGTACTCGGACCCCATCCTAAACGCTCCGGAGCCTCTGTTTCCTGGGCCCCGCTTTCCATTTGTTGGGTTACTTCCATTTTTTGGTTCAGCAATCGTTTGGGAAGCTTCCTGTATAGAGAGTACATTTTCTGATGTTCTGCTTCTCCACGACTGCCTTCATTTCAATGGTAGTGTGAGCACACACAGTTTAGGTTGAAAGGAGGAGAAGATTTTGAAGAATTGTTCCTTTAAAAAAAAAAAAACCAAAGCTTGCAGCGTTGCTGGTAGGTGCAGTTGGGTTGGTGGGACAGAGTGACGTACTGTCCAGTCCCGTGCCACCCTCACAATTGTTGCAGCTGCTACGTCTGCCAGTCCTTCTCATGGAGGGTCTTCCCCTGCTTGGCTGACCCTACCTTACCAAGCAGGTGTCCCCTTCCAGGGGTTGGCTTCTCTTGATCTTGCGTGACCAAAACACGTGAAATGAAGTCTCACCAGCTTCACTTCTAAGGAGCATTCTGTTTGTACTTCCTCCATGACAGATTTGGTGGTTCACTTGGTAGTTCATAGTACTTGCAGTATTCTTTGCCAGCACCATAATTCAAATGCACCAACTCTTTTTTCTTCTTTATTTGTCCTCCAACTCCAGAAGCATATGAGGCGAATGAAAATACCATGGCAGTGCTAATTATTAATGTTTAATTTTTACACGTTCGCTTGCTTCTTGACTGAATTAGATGGGAAACTCATGAGCCCACTTGTCTGGACATTTGTCCGTTGTGGTTTTCTCTACGTGCTTCTGTTTGGAGGTGAAATTGCTTCTTTGGGTTTCTGAGACTCGGCTTTTTAGAAGCAGACAGTCTCTGCCTCCCGAGGAGGGGGTGGTGGTGGTGGTGAACTGCTGACCAGGTGATGAACGGCTCGGTACATAGCCAGCCCCCATGCCACCAGGGCACCTTTGGCTGTATGGAATATCTTCTGAAGAGAACATGTATCTCCCTCCCCCCCCCCTTTCACTTATTTCTCATCTCAGGGTTCCTTTTAGAGTGCTTCTCGTATTTGTTTGATTTGGGGCTCTTTATGTTGAAGGCATTCTTCAAATGACTGGAGATTCCTTGGTTGGCTGTGGCTATTTGAAAACATTGAAAGCGATTTGGAAGGACTGTGGGTGTGGCTTGTCAGTTGTGCTGGGCTTCATTGAGTGGAGGGGAGGCCTTCACATGTCAGTATGTGTAGGTCATTTCCCCGACACTAGTCACACGTCTGAGCGAGGACTCTCCTAAACGAATGCTTTCTAAAGCTTTAATGTGCATCTGCAGTGTGCAGCTCTGATTCGGTCGGTGGTTGGGGCCTGAGAGTCTGTTGTTCTGACTAGTTCTGGGTGCTGCAGATGCAGGAATGACTACACTTTGAGGTGCAAGGCTTCTCAGCCTGAGTGGCAGGGAGAAGTGGCGGTGGTGGGATATTGGCTCTCTGCTGTCATTCTCAGGGCTGAATGGGGGGAAGCTTGTTAGCTTTCTCCAGGTTGGGTGGGGGCCATGTCTTGAGTTTATGCCTCATCGTGAGTCAAAATGCACTGCTATAAAACCATAGAGCTCTCTTAAATAAAAAATATCAA